GCTGTATCTCCAAAATAAAACTATGAAGACACTCAAAATAAATTTCCTGTGGTGGGAAACTATTTTTTGCAACTTTATTGTATTTAAAGTTTTGAGGGATAAACCTCTTAAACTTCTCCAAGTAGAAATATATGTAAACAAAACAAAAGCGATTTTCAAATTTTTTTGTAGTTTATTGCACTTTTTTGTAATTTATGTAATTACTATGCACTTAATGCATACATATTATTAAAATATGGGCTATAACAGTTGTATTGATGTATAGCAACTTGAAATGCTCCCACAAATGGCACTACAGCATGTAAAAAAATAATAATAATAATAATATAAGCTCTGGTGGACTTGGTTCTATAAATATCGTCAAATAATCGTGATCTCAATTTCAGTGAAAATAATCGTGATTATCATTTTTGCCATAATCGAGCAGCCCTATTTCATACCTTACAACTCTCTCTGCCTTTAAAAGTGCACATGTGTCTATGTGTGGAAAGGTTAACGGGGTGCCAGACAGGATGAAGAAGACATGCGGCAAATATGAAGTTATGTGCATAAGCGTACAGCCACAAACTGTGGCACATGCCACTGTGTGCCCTCTCACAGTAACACCATCACCACACAGCACCTACACTATTTACCAAATCTGGGTCCCGACAACTTTGACATACAAGTTTAAGGGCTGCCATTTTGCCACAAAATGATAAGGATGGGACTTCCAGGTGGTGATTCAAACACAACAAGTGCAGTGAGAATGGTGAACTACTTCCTGAGGATTGTGTATGGTTAAACCTATGCAGTCTAAAGCATCTAGAACAGTCAGTAAGATTAGAAAAATGCTATGTAACTGCAAATATATGTCGCATTTCACAGGCAAAATAAAAGGCAGAAGCTAAAATGCTCAATATACACGATTTTCTTTACTGTGGAGCAACAGTACAAACCAGTGCACCGTGTATAAAAGAGGGTGGAATAGCACAGAGTGTCAACCAGTCCAACCACTATCCTGTCTTTTGCCTCTCACCGCTGTTTTATTGACCCAGGAGGATTTTGCATGAGACTCAACTGACATAAACCAGACTTGGGTATTGTTTCATGGATCACTCACTAAGTACAGTTAACTCCACACTTATTACAAAAGTGTAACAGAAAAAAGATGCTGACCTAATTTATTTCAGTTACATGAGTGCAAAGCAGAGAGCTCTGCAGTGTCACCTCCCTGTTTGAATGACTACAGAGACACATGACGGGCCAAAGAATGACACTCATCCTTGCCATGCTGTCAGTCTGCTAAAAATACAAGCCAAAGCAGTAGTATCATGGCACATCAAGGCAAACGTTACATAAGGATTACATTTATATACAGTGCATATGTAGGACTCTTGCGGACGCCCACTGAAATGAGCCTCAATTGTTTTCCTTGCCTGCCCTATATTTTAAGAATAGAAGAAGTCGACACTGCTGACTGAGTAGCAGTGGAAACACAGGTGATAGAAGAAAGAAGCATTTGTTTATTTATAAGTTCCTGTTTTCATGAAGCCATCAGTGAAATGTGGCTGTGAGGATCTATGGAGTATGAAACGCGGTGCTGCCAAGATGTGAAGCCCAGAAACTTAGGCTACGTTCACACTGCAGGCGAAAGCGCATCAAATCCGACTTTTTTGACCCTACGCGACCCATATCCGATCATGGTATAACAGTGTGAACGGCACAAATCCGATATTTTTAAATCCGATCTTGGTCACTTTTTATGTGGTACTGAATCCGATACACATCTGATGTTTTAGAAAGCGACTGCTGTTTGAATGGTCATGTTGCATTAAATCCATCTTTTACATCACTGACACAAGACAGACGCCAATTATCAGCGCCGGAGAAGCACCCAAAAAGACATCGCAAATGCTTCCTGGCCATCCCGTGTAGATGTTAGTGAAACTGTTGGGAAGACAACGGTGGAGAAACGTGAACTTTTTATTTGTACTGTATAATCTGCAGATTCTGACAGACATTTCCAACTATAATTTGAAGCACCGCTCCTCTCTAAAACACCAATAAGGATAATTATTAGGACATTTGTAAATAACAAAATAACTTTATAACTTAAAGCAAAATTGGGAAACGTAAAGTCCGAAACAAGTCTTTATACTAAGGGCCATCAGTCAAACAATACTGTTTGGTCTGGGTCTAAACAGAGCGCGTTGTGTTTGACGTCTTCTTTTGAGCATGCGAGCCGCTTTGAGGATCACTGGACTTCCCCACGGGAGATGCATCCAAAAGATGCAGAGCTGTGACTCACATGGCGGCTGGCGCGTATGAATGAAAAACTGCATCACTATTTAAGTGGCCTAATCCAAATATCTTAATTCGCTGGCCGCCCTACTTCGCCCCTGGCAAGACTGACATGGAAGGAAAGCTTGAGGTAAACGCCCAGTGAGAGAGAAGTCCAAGCAATTCCTCCTATCATAAAAAGCAGAGATTGTTTAGGCCACAAATCTCTTTAAAGGTCACTGGAGCCCCTCACTGCACTAGAAAATTTATTTATGTTATTTCTGAATTATACATGACATTGGTTCATTTATCACAAATGTCTCGATTTCTCCCAAGACTTTGCAAGCTATTTGTCTTTTTGAGTACTGCCATGGTTAACTTGCTTTAAAGGTACTTTGTGCTGTGAGTCAGCTTAAGGAAGATTATCTGGGTTTTGTGGTTCTATCCGATTCTTGACAGTAATCAAGAATCAGAGAAAAGCACCACAGGCTGAGAACATTCAAACTTGGCCACATGACCGGCGTGGAGCCAGAGACATAGACAAAGCTTCCCAGCCCAAACTCGCTGACTCGTAATCACAATAGGAGTTCTGGGAGGAGTTCGATAAGCTGTCCAGGCCCAACAGGCCTTGCACAAGGATTTAGTTTAAGGCAACGTGACAGGGGAACGATTTCCAGCTGTCCAGACTTAGCAATGAAACTGGCGAAAAGGGCCTCTGTCAATTGAGGCTCCATTGGGCCAGCCTCTGCACACCAGCCCCAGCTGTATAGACATCTAGCATAGACAGCCACAGCAGGGCAGACACGTGGAGGAGGTGAAAAGGAATGCGCTTGAGAACATAAACACAAGCCAGTAGGAAGTCAAGCATCTGCTTCTAGTTAAGTCCAGAGGGGTGGGCGTTTGGCTATTCTGCATCCAGGTCGTGTAACATAGCGGAGGAAAGATAACCTCTGTGAGAAATAGCATTTTCCACGTCCACTGTAATCTCTACACCTTACTTATTGCCTAACCTTGTCGACCAGCCTCGGAGAAACTCAACATGAGCGGTTTCATGTTTCTGTAAACACCTGAAACCCCTGAGTATGATGCTGACATTTCTTCATTTTACAAGTGCTCCAACTCCAAGAACAATCAAAAGAATACAAATCACCAAAACCAATATCAAACCATATACTCACCGATAAATGAATAACTTTCTCATTTTAAGTTTGTCCAGAATGTATTTACTACCTTCCACACTGGCAGATAAGCACGT